ATTTACCATAATCGACTAAACAAATGAATCAATTATTCTTTTCTTGCTCTTTTACTGGTTAAATAACTTAAAAAAAAAACTCTTTATATTATTTTCAACTATGTAATTTCAAAGACATGAAATCTAACTGCTTGTTTCAAGCACCGTATATAAAGTCATTAGTTGTTGCTCAAGTATTTTTAATGAAACGTTTAACTAATTTTTAATAAAAAATATTACTAAATATTTCGTATCTTTCAGTTTCATTGCTTACATACTTTCTTATTACTTTTAATATTAAGGAATTTTAGTGCCTTCGTAGTGATTTTGGGAGTCCGATGTTCCGCAGTTCGAATTCTCGGGATGGAATCACATGTTTTTCATATTTCTTGCATCAAAAATTCTAATCACTCAACAGTGGCGCCCGACTAAAATGTGGTAGTCCAGTGGTTCCCGAACATTTTAGGTGGTCGAGCCGTACTGCCACTCTATATTCTCTGGAATATGTATAGATTATAATATGTTTGGACGCCTGTTATGCCGTTTTTCAGCAACTTTGGGAAACCTAACAATTTTTTCGGAACCCTAGTTTGAAGACCACTATGGTAAACAATAATTCGTTACCACTCGGGTTTGTCTGCCGGTTTTTCCCTCCTCCTACGTGTCCTTTCAAGTAGGGAAGCACGTAATTTCCTTCTTTTTAACGCGTATCCTCGTGGTGTAATTGGTAGCACATCCGGCTAAAATTCGGAATGTTCAGAGTTCAAATTCCGCCGAAGTAATTGCTGATTTTTTATGTTTCCTGAACCAACAAAAGTCTAACAGACTGAAGTATTTCTGGTTATCCTTATAGCAGATATTTCTTAGTGTGAATTGTAGTAAATAAGAGCTTCTTAAGGTACGCTACTTTTTACCAAAAATATAAAGAAAATCTTAATTGGACAAATAAGACGCTCTTGAATAGTGACGCTGATCATTATTAAATAAAATTGTTTCTATTATTAATGGGAGTATATTATTAGTTCATGTTCCCTCCCAGAAGAAATATTCAAATTCAGATACGCTTGAATTCATAATGAAAAGGATAGATTATTAGTTAATCTTATGGTGCAAAGTATGCTTGATAAATCCAGTAAATTTTCTAAGATTGCTGATTTCATATGTTGAAGGATTTTATTAGTTTCTACTCGAAGGTCTAAGGCTTTTGTTATAAATCTTCACGTCTGTGAGGAAGCTGATTGTAGCAAGAATTTTTATAATGTAAGAAATTAGCATATGAAATAAATGGAAGCGTTTATTTGTGTCAGAATCAATAGAAACATTATTTGGATTAGCATGGGAAATGTGCTGTTGTCATTGAATTGGGAATCATTTCCTTGCTTTTCCTAATGTGTTTGTATTTAAGGGAAAAAATTAAGAATATTATCACAAAGTCTTAGCAATTCGTGCGCTGCAGATCAGGCAAAGTTATTTTCACTCGCATCGCGTTAAATGTGCTTTCATTTTCTCTGAAGAACTGATGCAATAGGTTCAAAATTTAATGAAACCCAGAAAATGCACCTCTTCGCATCAATTATAATTAATTCTGAGTTAAGTATGATTGAATTTTCTTAAATACGCGGTTGAATTTGAGGAAAATAGCTCTGAGTACCATTACGGTTATCTTCATGGTGAAATTATTCTTCAGCAGTACTTTTGCTGAAAATTTAATATTGCACGATCATGTAGCCTATTATTTTACAAATAAGTTATGCTTTAGAATAGTCAAGTTAAGACGCATAATTTACTTTTCAAATGAAAACTGGGAAAACAAGGATGGAAGCTTACTGCCTATTTTAATTAGAAGAGAGAACTTTTGAGCTGAGTGATTTGAGAAGCATGCCTTTAGGGATTTTCCACCAGAAACTGAACTTATTTGCATTATGCAAGAGACACTTTGAAAGTAGGCTCTTTAGTCGCGAAACATCAGAATCTGAACCGGACACAGGGGAAGTTTAATCCATGTGTTGGTCTAAGCATTCTTAATTCTAAGAGGCTGAAAATTTCTCTTAGAAAGAGAAGAAAAGGAAGCATTCAAGTAAATGCCAGTTAACTTAATCAGGGATGCTTTGATAATAAGGTAAACAGTAAATGTCTTCTCCTCATCTTTCTTTACCTAATACGTGATAAAATATGGTCAAATGTTTTCTCAGTGTTAAACATAACAGGTTAATACGAGATATGACTACATTTTCGTAAGTGAGAAAGTTAAAATTTTATTCTAAATTATTAGTTTTGTGAATTTGATAGGATGTGCTTAAGGAATTTGTATTAATATACTATAATAATATTAAAGTAAGCTAAAAAAAGGAAAAAAAAACTCATTGTGAGTAATTTAAAAAGAAATCTGATAAATGATTTGAGCTGAGTTTTCAACATAAATATTTTTAGAAAGAGATGCTAAAAAATGCCACACCTAAATGCAAAAATGCATAAATTATGACTGTGAACAAACATATAAATAGTGAAAAATAAATTAAGGCAACGATTAGGGGAAACATTTATCTATTACTATATATTATAACATCTATCTGGAATACTTTTTCGTTAGCGACAATTCACATCTTCAGCAACCTTGTAAATTGCTTATTGTGGCAGTTATACCCAATCAATTGTGTGCGACCTATATGGTGCTCAAGGCTCTTGCCAACGGCAGGAGCAATCTTGACTTCTTGCCACGCTGAATTCCCCGCTTGCTTTGATATCAGATACCTGATCTGCTACTACTGTCGAACGGATAAGTCACAAACACACCCATTTAAGCCAGAAGAACATGTCGCAGCTCTTAGAAGTTTCCTGGTTAGCTCAACCACTTGCAATCATTTTTTCAAGCATGCGCCAGTCAGGTTGTGAGAGATAGTGATCTTGGAGCCTACTAGATATGTAGAACTGTTTTACTTTTTGTGTCATTCTTAATTCATTCTTCATGTATTTCCGAGCAAAGCGAGCTGCATGCATTTGTGCATAAATATCGCTTTAATACCCTTTACGAGAATAAATGGATGAATACGTACTACGTAGAAACTCAGCAATCAACGCTCTCACTGACAGCAAACCGCTTTCTATGATATAGTTTCCACTGTGCATAACGTCTCGGATTCTTTTCGCGTATCAAAAGCCTTTGAATAATTCTGAAGGTAAAATCAATACTCATCTGTAAAGAGTGTTTGATTTCAATAATTTTGATTTTTACCTTTCTTATTCATAGACACAGTTTTATGAAGCTTTGCCATAGGATCGTAACAAAGCAATGCCGATAACAAGTCGTTTTGCAAGCAGTCTAGCGTATTATCTCTTACTGTATAGAAACAGTCTGTTGAAGTCCCATCTCACACCTCTGCTAAATAGTTAGTCAAAATACACTTCTTCCAATATTTTATTTATTCAGTTATCTACTTATTATATACTTTGATTATAGCGAAGTACACAAGGGTTGCCTGCCTAAGAGGAAAAGATGCTATCGTAGAAGACCTTTTAAAGAAAACTAACTCGTAACCAACTTACACACGAGGGAAAATCTCGAAAATTCACATGCAGCCACCGGCATTCGAACCCGGGTAGAACTACCAGGGTTCATCGCCTTGGACCGCTAATTGGATGAAAATTATAAAAGAATCTGGTTTCTATTTGTATTACATGTAAAATAATCCTGCAACTTTGAAATAATACTACAAGTATTTTTGAGACAGTTTAAATACATTGGTAGCGATTTTATAGTCAGCTCACGATACTAAGAGAAACATTATACTCTCCCGCAACAACAAGTTCTCTTGCATCACCTTGCACTATTTATAAGCCTTCAGTTTATTTCATCAGTGAAACAGCTTCGTTTAATCATCATTTCGAAATCGCTTAGCTCACATTTACCGAAACAACTTCTGTCTGAATTACGATTTCGAGAACCAGACAGAAGTACTTTATTTTAAATAGTTTCATTTTGGTGATAGGGTTACGTTTCAGACTAATTGCATATTTGAAAGAGACTAACTTGTAATATATTTTGTCATATGTGTAATAATTAAAAATTTTCGTTTATGTTCAGAACAGTGTAATTCTTTACATTTCTCTCTTTAAGAGAGCAGAAATGTTTCACATGGGCATAGAAACAATTTTTATTTGAAGATGAAAAGATTTCTTTTTCATTTCACTAACCGGTAGGCTTGTATATTTTTTTTACTTAAGAGAAATGAGTTTTAAAATTAAAAATTTTAAACAAATCACAGATAATTTGTAAAGTAAGTTGAAGGGTTTACTTCATTGATAAGATGTAAATCTCTTATTTTATTTTTGAATATTCTTTATAGTTTATAGTCCATGGCATTTAATTCTTCTAATTTATTACATTTTTCTTGTGAGTGTGAACTCTTAATACAATTTAATTAACTCTTTAAATTCAAAGTAACTGTAAGACGAATGAACTGCAGATTGTCTAAAGTAACACTAAATTAACATCTGAATCCTCTATTATTCAACGCATAATTAAACGGGCATGGAATGACAGTAATACAAGCTTATTACTCTGGTGCCTCTACTATCTTATTTACCTTAGTTTGATTTATTTACCGAAACTAGCTCCTGACTTGTAATGCAAGTCATTGAATTTAATTTTTAAAATACTTTCTATCAACCAGTAATTTTAACCAGAAAAAATTTACTTTGTTTAAATTAGATCAATTTAAGTGTTAAATTTCGCATATTCTTAGCTCTCTTCAGACTTTTAACCATCCTTTAAGTAAAGATTAACAGAGTGTATAGAGATCTGCAATTATCGACAAGATATCTCTGATTACTTCCCTGTTTGTGCTTAAAATGCAAAAAATCCAATTTCATTACATTTTTATTTGTGATAAAATGCCTTCACGCTAGTTAAATTATATAACTTTCAATTCCTATTCCTTAATAACAGAATAGTATATATTTTAACACTGTAATTTATAACTTCATTCTCTTAGAATGTGATGAACTCTTTAATATTTTTCCAGTTGGAGGATGTGATAATTCCAGACGATGCATCGATGCTCATTCATAACGTTTCCGAGTCTTCTGTGGCTTACATTTTATCCCCGACTGACGAAGATCAGAAGAAATTTTTAGTTTTAGAAGACAACTTTCTATTTATTGATGTCACACGGTGCTTCAACTGCAGATTCAAAGCCTTAATCAAGCCTGTAGCTACGAAATATGGTATGTTATCTTTATATAAATATTTATACTTTTATATCCTTATATAAAATTTTTGGTTTTGTTAGATATGTATAAATTATCGCAATAAAGCATAGCATATAAATATAACACATTTTAAAGTTAGAAAAGGTAATGAATAATATTATCGAAAACGTTTTGAAAGGAAGGAGGAGTCTGTTGCGTACATTGTATTGAGGGAAATGTAAAAAATAAAGACATTCTTCCCACGTGTCCTTATTCTTATATAATTGTTGTCACATTCTGGAAGCATTCTAGAGTTAGTAAATGAATGTATGGTAATTCATCATCATTTTGTACCCTATTGATTCTTTTTTTTTTCATCCTTTAAGTGGAGAGAATGTGAGAAATTAATGGACACTTATCATGAGAACAGAGAACAGCATATCCAGCTAGTAAATAGATGGTCCCGAACTCGGTTTCTGTTAACGGTACGATTTATATCTTAAGATATCTGATTACAAAAGTCTAACGATTTTACAAATGATTTAAATGGTTTAAGAAATTAAAGCGCATGTGTAGACTATGAAGCAGAGAAAATCCTACACTATGACGCTCTTGTTGCCAATCAAGTTGCAAGTTGGGATTAAAGCGGTAAATTAGGGAAACTATTAGGTTAGGTTAGGTTATTTTAATATGGAAAAACCTTTACGGCTATCTGCTTAAGAGAAGAAGTGCTTTCATGGAGGTCGTTTTGAGGAAAACTGGCTCTTATACATGTTACACATGAGAAAACACAAAAACCAACCAAGCAGCCAGCTCGTTCTCCTGGTTTTAATACAAACCAAGACAATCTATCAGTATTCAGCTGTCTTAATCACTCGGCCGTTATTGGGCTTGCAAACTATCGGAGCTTCTAGCGTTAAAAGAGAATTATGAAAACAAAAATGAAAAACAATCCCCTAAACTAACTCTTTAATATATGTAAGGCTCAAAAAATGCGTTCTCAGTTTTTTTCAATCAGAAAAAAGAGGTTAATTTTTTTTGATTAAACTGAGCCTTTTATCATTTTTTGTATTATAGGGATATTGCAAGAGCAAGGTTTTTCTCGTCATTATCGCCAAAGAAATGCAATGCAACGTCATAATTGAGGATCAAATTTAGAAAAAATGATCCAAAGAAGGTAATCTAAGTTGCTTTGAAGGGACTGAGGCACGTAGAGGCTTATCAAATCGTGCTGAGAGATGAAATTATTAGCACGCAGTAGCAGCCACACTATCTGCAGCTTCCAGTATTAAAACTCTTTCATGACCCCAGACCGCTTGTGGGGTTCCAACCTTTTATCTAACAGCTAAGTGTGTAGGAATCTCGTGAAACTTTAAGCAAGTAATCACTTTAGTTCAGGAACAGAAACATAAAACTTACGAAGGGTTAATTACCCTTTATTTCTTAAAATAAGAATTTCACAGATGGTCCCTTTCTCAGGACGTACAGCAAAGCCTCTATTTGTGCTTGAACTCAAAGTAATAAGAAATAAAACTTAATTAATGCTTAACTAAAAGATATAGCCGAAGCTATTAAGATTTCTAACTAGTTGGCCCCTAACTATCAAATATGTTGGCGAAGCTATCAAGGACCTGAAATACGGCCCAGCGTAGTAATAGTTCAGAGAGAGTGTAGCCAAAATGCGCACACGCGCTGGTCAGAAGCTCTAGCTCTCAAACAAAGTCGGTGGAACTTCGACTTAAATACCGTTCTTACTCATTTGCATTAAACGCGATTCTAAAAAGACATTCTGGTAGGAAATGTTAAGCTGAAATTAGGAGGGACAGGAAAGTAACTTTAGCTAAAGATAACTGTTAAAAATTTTGGGTAAACATAACACCCTAACCCTCTCAATTTGTACTTTGACTCCTCTTCTTTCAATACATATCCAATCCAAAATCAGATCTCTCGGGAGCTGGCAGATTGTTTCGTGAGCAGCGAATTGTAAAACCATCCTTTTGTGTAGAAGTTTGCGTCCATAACCTTTAAAGGGTTAAAATGACGTCTGAAAGAAGATTTGAATGATTCATTTAAATATCATATCTACTATGATAGATTAAACAAATAGCTGATCCACCTTTTAAGTATTGCCACCCTTTGAGTAAATTAGCTGTGTCACCTTTTCAGCATCGCAAAAAGGCTGCATTGACATAGCTTTAAGTTTATCTAGCATTCTAAATATAACAGTGTTCTGCTCAGCAACGAATCTCATTTTTATCTAATAATCGCTTACTTAGAGCTGTAGAGCAGTGATAACCGCTTATGCTTCATGCATGCCATTCTTCAATGCTAGAATATCATTCCTCCCCATCTTTTAGCACGATCAAAAATACATATGTTTATTTCGATTTCGATTTTTTTTAATGTTTTTGAAAATTAAACAACCAAAATGTGTAGAAAATGTTGACAAATAAAATGAAAAAAGTACTTTTTATAGTCATAAGCTAAAACTAAATAAAAGTCTGACCTCATTCCGCCTCTGAGCGTATGCTATTCCACAAGGTGAAATTCTCCCCTGGCTGAGAAACTTAGTTGTAAAGAATTTTAATCCCTTATTTAATTAATTCCCTGCCATTTCTGAGCCTTATGAAATTTATCAGTGTGAGAAAAGATTTGAGATGCCAGCAACAGCTGCTTTTATTGGCTTTTATTTGCTTTTATTTGGAAATAAAGCAGCGTTCCGATATATGGATGAGGTACTGCAAGGCCGTTTCGTATAAATATCAGTTTTTACACGATAATGCACTGACGTGTATCAGCGGGTAATGTTTCAAAGTGAGGTACATTCTTGGATACCATGATCTCCGGACATTTTCCCCCTTGAGAATATGAAGAAGGCATATAGGCACTAATGATAATCGAATGAGTACCTATTTTTCTTATGACTTCAAAAAAAGTTATTGGAAATCCTGCTTCAGAGCTTAGCAATCTCTCAGAACAGAATTTGAGTATATCTTTACTCGTTATAGTCGTCAAGAAACCGAAATCTTTGGGTATAGGGCAAATTATCCATCGAACCAAAAAATCCCCTCAAGTACTTGATAGCAGGAGGAGACGGATACAAGATGTTTGGTCTCCTATCCTTGAAAAGTGATCTTGATCAAAATTGGGATGGAAGTGGACAAAAATCTTCCTAATACGCATATGGTGACAATTCCTTGGCTTTCAGAAAGTTAAATCCTCTTTGCCTAATGCGTTCATGCACCGGAACTGATTTAGATCTGAAAAGTAAACACAAACAACAATCTTAATGTATTAATTTAGAAGTCAAACAACAAAAATCAGCATTAAGTTTTCAAATTTTCACAGGACTAGTTTCGATGGTTTTACCAAACCATTATCCTCAGCTGCAATGGCGCAAATGAACAAGAAAGATATAGTGATTAGATAGGATAAGATAAGAAAGGCTGAACAGGAGTTAAGCTACTGGCGCCATCTGTTGATAAAACGAGAAGTAAAACATAACTTCTTTAAAGGCTGAAGGTAAAGATGTATTGGTTGGAATTAGAGTCGCTAACTAGAACAGAAATTTAATTTTCGGGTTGTTTATTCTCCCATCAATAAAATTTCGAGTTCCATACTCAAGGACCCCATTCCGGATATGAATTCCTGGGGTATTTACAGGATTCCTTGCCAGTGCGGTTTAATTTACATTGGTCAAAGTAAGACAGCCTTAAAATTTCGCGTTAAAGAACATGAGGCATATGTTAGAAAAAAGGAGCCACAGGAGTCTTCTGTTGCCCAGCATTGTTCGTCCGAAAATCACACTTTCAATTTTTTTGCAGCCAAAAGTATTCCAAAAACATCTTCCATTGGTGAATTAGATTTTCTAGAGGCAGTTCACATTCAAAAAATCTTTCTGTTCTCGTTAATGGCCCGAATTCCAATCCATCTTTGCCTTCAGCCTTTAAAGAAATTATGTTTTAGTTCTCTTTTCATCAACAGATGGCGCCAGTAGCTTAACTCATGTTCAATCTTTCTTATCTTAGTTCATTTGCGCAGCTGAGGATGATGGTTCGGTGAAACCATCGAAACTAGTCCTGTAAAAAATTTGAAAATATAACGCTGATTTTTGTTGTTTGACTTCTAAATTAATACTTGTTCTGCGTGTTATTGTATATGAATGTATTTATGGTCAGTGTCAAGCTGTAAAGCCGAATATGTCAATTAATGTTTTGGCTGAACTAGGTATTGTATCAGTCTCAGTTACTCTCTAGGTTCGACTACTGAACTAAAGTAAAACTTCAAGGCTAACAGCCCTCTTCATAACCTACTTGACATGTGTTTGTTAAATATCACCTCATTTTGAGTGTTCCACTAAGCTGTGCCATTTTTTCTGTTATGTAGGACATTAAAACGAAAAGAAAATTTCGAATCATTGATTTTATAGGATAAATGCATTCCATAATCGAAATGCAACAGTTCTCTTAGGCTAAATGAATTTACTTTCCCCGTATAAAACGTCCTTGTACAAAGAGGGTTTTTTTTTTTTTTTTTTAATTGTACCCATTTTTTTATTTTTAGTTCTTTCTGTATGACAATTTCCAGTGTTAACAAAAATTTGATCTGATTAATCTCGAAGCACTTGGGATATGACATCATGTAATCAGTACCCAGTTAGAGAGGATAACTTTAATTTTATTCAAAGTATAACATATCTTCTGAAAACGAAGTATCATTCCTTATTTTAGCAGTACATAGTAAATATTAAATACCATACACCTAAATGATCATTTGGATCTTATATTTTTATTTCAGCAGCTACTCGATATTTCTGGATAAGATTGTTTAATTATAGCCTGACACATTTTCGTAATGTGTCTAAAGTAGAGATTTTTTCATGAAAGAATTCCTAATTAAAATTACCTTGTATTCCCATTACACATGGGAAAGTCCAAAAAAATGCTCAATCAGCCAGTACATTCGCTAGAATTTAAGCGAATCAATTCAGCTAAATTAAAATTTTAATAACTAAATTGGAACCTCGAGATACGAGC